CAGTGGCAACAGTGGTGTATTTAGGTTTTGTGCTGCCCTAGGCAAGACTACACTCGGACGCCCTCCCCCGATCTAAATTTGCCCCACCCCTTCTTGTATAAGGCATTTTGCGTAACCTGTCAGTCACTGGGGGAAGCCGGGTGGGCTATAGGTGGGCCCTGGGGCCGGGCCGCATCTTACGTGACCCCGGGCAGCTCTCTCAGGTAAATTAGGCAGCCGCAAGACCGAACAAGCGGCCGCCTAATTTGCCTGATTAGGCAATGTGCCGCCCCCCTGCAAAGTGCCGCCCAATGCAAACGCCTTGTTTGCCTTGCTGAATGGCACCTGGGGCACATGCCCCCTTAGTCCCCCCTCCCTGGCTTTGGCCCTGCATGTGTAAACTTCAGCCCTCTGAAATGAGCTCCACTTGGGAGAACTTTTCAGTCACTAGAAAGATAATTCCACTTTTCCCCACCAAAACGCACAGAACAATGTTTTATTTCCTGTTGTTTTAACACATCGTATTCACACCATGTAAGTAGAGCATTTTATTTGCATGGCATTATGTTAAAAATTATAATTATAACTATTAAATGAAATTTAAAAAGGCACCTTCATAACAACCCACTAGCTCCTTAAATGTTTTAGGACTCCATCGGTCAGACTTTTCCACCAGAGTATACTCACTGCCACCATTACACTACAATTGCACAGGCATTTAACGTGGACCAATGCCTTCTGCTGCTTTTATTAAATTTGTACTTGTTTAAAATGAGATAAGCAAAATAAATATCACCAGATGTAAAGCAGAAAGCAAACATGAAAATTAGCCCCAAAAACTCAACTTGTTGTACTGTTAATAGCCCATTAGAGATACAATAACATACTTTATAATTATTGCTTACAAGACACAGCCAAACTCAGTTTAGCATCAACCCACTCCAAGGCATCAAAGTCAAAAGGTTTTTGAGTTATTTGAAATGGTGATTTTGTTTCCTGCAGAATCAGCTTGTCCTCTGAGTACTGGCTCTGATATCATGTTTTAGGTGGCTCCTTTCCCTTGCAGGGTCCTATGGAGTCACCCATGTGTGTGCTAGTAAGTTGTATGTGTCTGCACAAACACACAGGCACAGCAAGGCAAGCCACTCCTCTGCTCCCTCCTTCTCCCTCCCTTCTCTCGTCTCCCTTCTCCAAGCTAATACATGAACAGCTGCTGGAGTTATATAGTATCTATTCTCTCAGCCCTGTCGCTGTCAAACTGAGACTCTCAGTTTGACAGCGACAGGGCTGAGAGCTCATCGGTTTCCTCAGTCCGTCAATTCGGCCGGTGGACTTCTGGAGCTCCGCCCACCAGCCAATGGGAAGAGATCTCACCCCTCCCATCCACCACGCGAGGATGCCAATCTTGCTGGGAGGGCGGAGTTCAATCTGGCTGGGAGGGCGGATCGTCAGGGGCAGATGGACAGAGACGCAGTGAGCAACGGCTGGTCCTCCTGCACGCTCCCGCCCGCAAGACGCTCCCTGCACAGTCCTGGTGAGGGGCAGCTTTCACAAGCTACAGCAATGGAGAGAGCCCTGTGGAGACCCTAGAGAGCCTTGTGGAGACCCTAGAGAGCCCTGGTTTAACCAGGGCTCTGTGGGGTCTCACCAGGCTGGTGAAACTGCATGTAGCCATGGTGGGAGCCCTGGTGAGACCCTACGGAGCCCTGTTGCTGGTGAGACACTACAGAGCCCTGGTTTAACCAGGGCTCTGTGGGGTCTCACCAGGCTGGTGAAACTGCATGTAGCCATGGTGGGAGCCCTGGTGAGACCCTACGGAGCCCTGTTGCTGGTGAGACACTACAGAGCCCTGGTTTAACCAGGGCTCTGTGGGGTCTCACCAGGCTGGTGAAACTGCATGTAGCCATGGTGGGAGCCCTGGTGAGACCCTACGGAGCCCTGTTGCTGGTGAGACACTACAGAGCCCTGGTTTAACCAGGGCTCTGTGGGGTCTCACCAGGCTGGTGAAACTGCATGTAGCCATGGTGGGAGCCCTGGTGAGACCCTACGGAGCCCTGTTGCTGGTGAGACACTACAGAGCCCTGGTTTAACCAGGGCTCTGTGGGGTCTCACCAGGCTGGTGAAACTGCATGTAGCCATGGTGGGAGCCCTGGTGAGACCCTACGGAGCCCTGTTGCTGGTGAGACACTACAGAGCCCTGGTTTAACCAGGGCTCTGTGGGGTCTCACCAGGCTGGTGAAACTGCATGTAGCCATGGTGGGAGCCCTGGTGAGACCCTACGGAGCCCTGTTGCTGGTGAGACACTACAGAGCCCTGGTTTAACCAGGGCAATGGGGGATCTCACCAAGGCTCTGAGGGGTCTAACCAGGCTGGCGAGACCCCCACATTGCCGTGATGAGACCCTACACAGCCCTGTTGTTGGTGAGACCCTACAGAGCCCTGGCCTCGCCAGGGCTCTGTGGGGTCTCACCAGTGCTTTTTGGGGTCTCACAAGGGCTATGTGGGGTCTAACCAGGCTGGTGAGACACCTCAGAGCCCTGGCTTAACCAGGGCTCTGTGGGGTCTCACTAGGGCTCTGAGGGGTATGCGGTGAGGCTTGCTACAGACAAGCTCGCGATACTCTTTACTGGCCTAATATGCAAGGCGAAATCAAAGATTTTGTCAGCAATTGTCCCACCTGCAATGAATATGCACACTTGCAACAAAAAGAGACCATGATGTCACATGAGATACCTACACGTCCTTGGCAGATTGTCATTATAGACTTATTCAACTATGCGGGAAAAGAGTACCTGATATTAGTTGATCATTACTCTGACGTCTGGGAAATTGAACTGCTTCCTGACTTATCCACTGAAACTACAGTTAAGAGGTGCAAGGCACAGTTTGCACGTCATGGTCAACCAGATAAAGTGATTTCTGATAATGGCTTCCAGTTCTCAAGCTTACAATACAGAAAATTTGCCTTTGAATGGGAGTTTGAGCATGTAACTTCCTCACCACGTCATCCACAGGCTAACGGCAAAGCGGAATCTGCGTTGAAGATTGTAAAAACGTTATGCAAGAAAGCACAAAGTGATGGTAAAGTGGAAGGCCATCTTACATTGGAGGAACACTCCAACTGTGGGCATGGATAGTAGCCCAGCACAGAGACTGATTTCACGAAGATTAAAGACCTCCTTACCTGTGGCCAACAATTTACTTGACCCTCTGTGATACAAGGGGTACCGGAAAAGTTATGGCTTAAGAGGCAAGTGTTCAAGGCACAATATGACACATCTGCAAGAGATTTGCCTGAATTGAATATTGGGGAACCAATTCGTATGGAACCTCTGCCTGGGGATCGAACAAGTCGTTGGAGAATGGGTACTTGTCTGCGAAAGGTTGCACCACGCTCCTATCTTGTGGACATTGATGGAACTCTCTATCTTGCAATCATGTGGATCTGCGTGTGGCTGAAAATCCTGATTCACATTATCCAGTTGACAGGCCAGACTCGCCTGGTAATGCAAAGGCAGACTCACCAATTGGCAGTAGGGAATGTACAGTGATGATGCCACAGACTAATGTTAATGACAGTCCGGAGCAAGCAGGTATATCGGACGGGAGTGAAGAGCAGAGCTTGCCAGTAAGTGGTGAGAAGAGCACAGTAACCTCCGAGAGGGCTAAGAAACTCTTTATACAACGAGGGCCAGTCTTCACCCGCAGTGGTAGACATTCACAACCACCCAAAAGACTTAACCTGTAAATATGTTATTGCAAGGATTAATCCAAATTTCACAATGATCATTTATTAATATGAAGAGGGAGATGTTATGAGTGTTATGTTTTAGTTTATATGCAACTCTATGATTCATCTCTGTGGCACTTGTTTCCTGTGATGCGTTTCCTGTTTGGTTCTGTGGGTTCTCTTCTAAGAACATGACTTCTGTACACTAATGGCTTATATTGTCATTATTATCCACATAAAACACCATCCCCTTTAAATTAAGTCACCACAAGCCCCTGTAACATAAGGCCCTCTTATTTTTAGCTACCATCAGACCCTGTAATGAGAGCCCCCTCATATTCAGCCACCATCAGATCAGCCCATGTGAAGCTCTCCCCAAATTTATCCAGCAGATCCCTCCTTCAATAAAGCCCTCTGCCCATTCCCTGTAACAGGGGATAGACCACTAATGTACAGGAGCTTTTCCACCGACCCACCAGTGCCTCAATGATATGGCAGTCAGTGTATATAACACCAATATATTTGTGCTTATTGTAGCTTCCCCTATTACATCGGTGGTCATTGTAAATTCCTTTTTTTATATTGGTGGAATTTGCAAATCCCCCCCTTACATTGGTGCTCTGCGTCAGCTCCCCGTTACATTGTGTTAGTGTCAGTGCCCCTGTTACATTTGTGGTCTGTACTCTGTTATAATACCACTAACAGTTGACCATGGAATATTTAGTAGCAAGGAAATTTCACGGAACACCTGAATCCAATGATTTGGAGGGGTGTTCCAATACTTTTGGCAATATAGTGTATTTGTAGTCTGCCCATAGCTCCCATGTGCGACATACCACCGGTGGCAGTTATTTTGACAAAACCTATGGGGTCTTGGTGAAGACCGAAGGAGGATCACAAAATTGAATGCGATCTTGTTTATACAAATCATATACCCTAGCCATGATGTGAGATGCCTGTCCCAATATAGGCTGGGGGAATAGAAAACGACAAAGAAAAACCTAAAGATATCTTCTTGAGGTTTATTTATCAAAATTTGTTAGTACAGATTTATGGAGACACTACTCTTTGAGATCAAGTACACTCCTTTAAACTTCTGGCATGTATTGTTTATATTGACTGTATATGCTACCGTGTCTGTCTTCACAGTATTGTTTGAATTTTGGTATTTTTTATTTTTGTTTATGGAAAAAGTTATGAAAAAAGAATATGAAACAAAATCAAAAAGTTAAAGCAAAATATAACTTTTTTGGTTTTTCAAAACATAAATAAAAGAATGACAGTTATTTTGCTAACAGATAAAAGACAGAAACATGTTGATCTGATTCTGAATTATGGTCTCAGCTGGATGAGCAATATAAGATCCAAAAGCTGTGGTCATGTCCCAAGCATCAATCACCCCAACATTAAGACTCAAAAAGACTTCCTTCATTAAGAGGTACTGACTGTAGCCATGAAAGTCACTGAATCGTTCTACATCTGGATTGATCTCTCGGGTATTCTCTGTCTTTAGGATGACCGTTGTGTCTGGGCTTCTTTTGAAAAGGTTCTCTATTGCTTTACGTATATTGAGAAGTCTTCTGATGAAGAGGGTAATGGGGAAGGGTCTAAAATGCTGTCCCAGCGTGATGGCAATGACAGTGTTTGAACCTCCGGCAAGCTGGTCAATTTCCCTGGCTATATATGAGAAGTCTCTCATGGTGTAGAAGTAATGAGTTACAAATGGGTGCCCATGCTTCTTCCACTTGACATACAAATTGTTTTCCAGGTCCAAAGCTAAGCGAGTCCTGTGATTGCCCATTCCATGCATGTCAAAAAACTTCAATGCTGAAGAAAAGAACATGCATACATTAAAGACTGATACAGTTATATAACAAAAACAGTACTCCAAAGCGGTCAAATTATATATTATTATACATGATTGATATAGCATCAACAATTTGTGCAGTGCTTTACAATATAAAGGGAGACAGGACACCGAAGGAATTGGACGTCATGTAATCAGATAGACGACTGCAGGATTAAAGGTAAGGATACATTGATAAACAAAAATTTACAAAAATAAAATATACTTGTATATACACACACACACTATATTGCCAAAAGTATTGGGTCACCCCTCCAAATCATTGGATTCAGGTGTTCTGTGAAATCTCCTTGCTATTAAATACTCCACGGTCACCTGTTAGTGGTATTATAACAAAGGCCACGTAAAATGACAGAGCTGGGTCAGCGCATAGTGCACAGTCCAGACACCCCCCCTGCCCACCTGTTTGTGGCTCCCTGGACAGCAGAGCGGACAGCTGCAGCCAGGTAAGACATCCCCCGAAAATAAGTCCTAGTGTCTTTTTTCGTGAAAAAAATAAGACACTGTCTTATTTTCGGGGAAACACGGTAATGGGAAGGCAGTAAAGGGTCTTCATTGTGGGGAGAAGTTGAATGAAAAAAATATATACTGATAACGCATTGTGTGTACTAGTGCATACACACATACAGTATAGATAGGAACTCCCCTCCCTTAGGATATTTCTTCTATCTCCTGTTGCATCTCCAAGACAGGAGGTTAAAGGAAATCTCCTGATATGGAGTTATCACCCTTCCCTACTCTATCTACACCTAAAATAAAAATGTTTGCTTTACATACACTTAAAACTAGTAATCTATACATACTTAGGAAGAGTGGCTTATCTCCCCTCTCTTTCTACTCAGTATAGACTTCAATTACAGAGACAATATTTGAAAGCAATCAATCAACTCTTGCTATAGAAAGGGGTAGGCAGCCACAGCTCTCCAACTGTGGTGCAGCTACAAAAAAAAATGTAATTATATATATATTGTAATGTTTAGAGTATTTAAGGATCCTTAGCCAGGCGGTTTTGGAACATAACAACTTTATTCTCTTCCAAACAGTACAACTTAAATTGCTTCTTTTCAGCAAACAAATATAAACAGGTTGTATCTTCCAGCAACATCCAAGATTCGTCTCAGCACCGTTATCATGTCCCACCTCAGTGTTAGAGCCTCAGCCTGCTCATGGCCAGACACCCAGCAGCTTCACACCTCCCTGTGTGATGACAGTCCTCCCGACCTTTCCAAAACACACCTCGTGTGCCACAGACCCTCCTGGCTTCGCCCACACACCGCGTGTGCCACAGGCCCTCTAGCCCTCTCCAGCCAGACTTCAGCTCAGTGTCTCGTGCGTCACATACACACAGTCTCCCACGCTCTGGGTGTCTAGGCTGGCAATTGGCTGCACCTGGCCCCAGGACTGGAGATTTCATCCCGCCAAAGACTTTTAGAAATCTCCAGAGACCCTGATCCCAGTTATACTCCAGAAAACCCTGAAAGAACCTGGAAACGCAGCTCCTTCCCTGTAGCACTATATGTTTACTGGATCCTCTCAGCCCCTCTGGCCGAGAGTCCTGGGAGCCAAACACACCAATCATGGCACTGTCCTGTCACATATATATATACACACACACACACACAGTATATATATATATATATATATATATATATATATATATATATATATATGAATGAGAACAAAATTATCTC